ATCACAGGGACACATAGAGACAAACGAGACAAACAACCATTCACTCTTTCACCTAGGAACAATTTGGAGTTACCAGTCTAACATGCATGTTTTTGGTCGGTGGGACTTGAAATATACTAAAACAAATAAAAACAAATTGTAATCTCATTGTTTTGAGCAACTCCTACTCTTTAGCCCTAAAACATGTGTTGCTCAGAATCTTAAGTCAGATGGCCAAAGTAGGCTCACACAGTTACCTAAAAGTCCCAACTGTATGAACCTCATGCACCTGGCCCCGCTGAATGGAAACAGTAAACTACACAGTGAATACTGGTTCTTCCTCCTGGTTGAATGCTCACCTGGGTGCAGGGAGTAGCAGGTGACATTGGTTCCCTGCAGTTTTTTAGCCAGCTCATGATTGAAGAGTACGTTGCACAGCTTACTGTCACAGTAAATTTGGAAAACTCGAATGAATGATGTCCCAAACCCCAGACATTTGTGGGAGTTCAGGCAGTCGAAGTCAATGCTTCCAAAGTTGTGTGCCATGGACGACACATTTATTATCCTGCTTGGTCCACACGCCTTCAGTCGATCCAGCAACAGGTTCGTTAACAGGAAGTGACCAAGATGGTTGACGCCAAACATGAGTCCAAATCCATCTTCAGTTTGACCTTGCATGCAGATACCTGGAATAAAACAGAGACGTCAGTCCTTTCTCTCTTAGCATCAAAACAATTGCAGCCTAAAACTCTGAGAAATAAAGTTAAAAGAAAACAAGTTAAAACAAACGGAACATGGTGTAAAATGTAAATTAATGAATTTATTGTTCTCTTCAGGTCGAGGGTGAGGTTCTGCCTCAAGTGGAGGAGTTCAAGTATCTCAGGGTTTTGTTCTCAGGGAGGGAAGAATGGAGCGTGAGATCGACAGATGGATTGGTGCAGTGTCTGCAGTATTGTGGACTCTGTGCCGGTCCATTGTGGTGAAGAGGGAGCTGAACTGTAAGGCAAAGCTGTCTGTTTATTGGTCAGTCTACGTTCCTCCCCTCACCTCTGGTCATGAACTCTGGTAGAGACTGAAAGAATGAGATCGTGGATCCAGGAGGTTGAAATGAGTTTCCTCTGCAGAGCTGGACTCTCCATTAGAGACAGGGGGAGAAGTTCAGTTATCAGGAGAGACTCAGAGTAGAACCACTGCTCCTCCACATCCAGAGGAGACAGTTGAGGAGGTTCAGGTATCTGGTAAGGATGCTCCCTGGACGCCTCCCTAGAGAGGTGCTTCAGGCCTGTCCGACTGGGAAGAGACCC